CCTTCACTACAAACAAATACAGTCACTGCGAGAGTTTTTCTACAGGAAACAAGAAACATCACAATTACATAAAGCAGTAACTCTAGCAGACTCAAATAGCACACCATTAAACTTACACTCACATCATTAAACTTACACTCACATCATACAGACATGACACAACACACAAAAAGCATAGACACCATCAGGCAATCGTGGGCTCGAAAGGCACTCCATGGCAGGCATTCTTATGACCTGGCCCAGGATTTTGTTGACAAAACTGCGTCAAACAGCTGGTTATATCGGGATGCCTCTTTGAGGAGACAGAAGGATTCATGATTGCCATACAGGATCAGTCATAAATACTAAAAACTACAGAAAACACATTCTCAAAGATATAACACTCACAAATGACATCAAGCCAGAAAGTATACAACACATTACATCTGGGTGCAAGCTCTTGGCACAGACAGATTATTTACACAGACATAATCAAGTAGCAAATATAATTCACCAAGAGCTTACAAACAAACACAAATTATTAAACATTCACGAACCATACTACAAGTACATTCCACAGACAGTATTGGAAAACAACACACTCAAACTGTACTACGACAAAGCCATAATCACAGGCAAAACAATTTACCATAACAGACTAGACATCACACTCATTGACAAACACAATAAAATCACATACATTATAGACATAGCCATTCCAAACGCTCACAATGTACAAAACACATGCACTGAAAAAATTAGCAAGTACACAGAACTCGCCCAGGAAATAAGGCATCTGTGGAGGATGGATAGGATGCTTATTGTACCTGTCGTTCTCTCCTGTACAGGTGTGATACCACACACACTACACAAAAGCCTGGGGACATTACAATTGAACAGAAATAAATACATCACACTACAGAAGGCCACTATATTGAATACCTGCCACATTGTTAGGAAATTCCTGAATACAGACACTGACACACTTATTTAATTTTAGTTTTTGGTTGCTATGCCTTGACTCTGGTCCGGCATAGTACACAGCCACCGGTGTGAAACGAGTATAACCCACTAAACACAACAACAACAACAACAATAATAATAATCTCAAGATAAAATGCTTGTGGAATGCTAGATAAGGTACTTAAAATGCCTATTGTCTTGCACAAATAGCCATCCATATACACTATATAACTCTAGAAACATGAAGCCTTAATGAGACAATAGCAAATATATCTCATTACAGAAAGCAGCCACACTAAACATACATTAATTAAAAAATTTTAAAATACGGATGCATACACTAAAGAGTATATAAACAAAATAGCTTTTATGGTAGCTTTTTTACCTTAGTCCTATAGCACTAGGTATTTGGTATCAACAAAGTAGGCCAATTACCAACAAAATAATATTAACCAACAAAATAAATACCAACAAAATAATATTTTAAATAAATTCATTAAATGAATGTCTAGTTTTAAAACTCTAAATCCAAATTTTGCAAAATGAATAATAAAACTTTTATTTAGAATAAAAAGTGTGAAAATTTAAATCGACAAAAAACAAAGTAATTTTTAAAAAGTGGCAAGGTTTTTGTGCAACTGTTCTAGCACTTGAGCAGGAAATTAAGGAAACCAAGAAATGTGATAATTTTCAATTATAATTTCTAACTTTTAATTTTTAAAAAATTATAAATGCCAATAACAAGTAAAATTTTCATTAAGTCTGATCCCTATCCCCTTGACTTACAATCTCCAAAAGGTAATAGCATCAATAATGTTGTATGTATATACAAGGTGTGACAATTTAATTTCATAACTGGTCGTGTAGTGTTGCAGTGTCAGCATGCAGAAACTTGTCTAAGCTTGTCATAATAGTTCAACCATCTGGCTACTTGTCTGCAAAGATTTGTTTGTGTCTCGTAACTCGTTCTTTTTCTGTACTCCATTCACATATTGATGTGAGAAAGTGCTGTCACGTTTTGTCATGGAACAAAAAGTGAACATTAAGTTTTGTTACAAGTTGGGTAAAAGTGCCCTCAGACAGAGACATATGCCCTCATCACGCAAGTTTATGAGAATGATGCCCTATCCCACTCTTGTGTTTTCAAGTGGTTTGCACATTTCAGAGATGGTCGGGAAGACCTTGAGGACGATGCTCGCCCTGGACGATCTCAATCAGTTTGAACACCAGAAAACATCAAAAAAGTCAGAGACTTGCTGCGATATGACCGTCAAATGTCTATTCGGATGACAGTGGAGACATCTTGTCGGGTTAGGCCTCAGTTTGCAGCAAGAGGAAGCTGGGTACTGCAGCACGACAATGCCCGCCTGCACACTGCGACTGTTGTCAAGGAGTTTTTGGCCAAATGTGGCATCGTGGAGTTGAACCACCATACTCCATACTCACCAGATTTGTTTCCTTGTGACTATTTTTTGTTTCCAAAAATCAAAATAACATTGAAGGGACGAAGATTCGACGATCTGGAGGACATACAGCGCAATGTGACCAAGGAATTGAGAACTATCAATGGAAGTGACTTTGCTGAGTGTTTCAAGAACTTTTACAAGCATTGCGAGAAGTGCATTGCCCTCCAGGGGGATTACTTTGAAACATTAAAAGGGTTTTTCATTATATGTTCTTTGTGTTCTTTTATTACCCCAGTCCTGAAATTTAATTGTCACACCTTGTATATATATCAATAAATTATTCCTGACATATTTTAAAATTTTTGGTCCATGGTGTCCTGAAAATATAGAATAAAATACAAACTGAGAAAAAAGATGATAAGCAATATTAATAATAATAGCCAATATAAATTCTATAATTCTGTAGAATTATTATTATTATTATTATTGTTGAATTACTTGTTGTCTTCCTTCTCAATTTGCAAAATTCAATCAAATCTTCCTAGACTTCCATTGATCATTATATTTGAATAATTTATTTATTTTCAAGCAAATAAATCTTCAAATTAACCACAAAAATGTGCTTGCCATCTATTGATATATTTCAGACATTCTCATTGTTAAATTAACTTTAAAGCTTAATATTGAATTCAATTCCAGATATGGGCTGCTGTGTAATAGATCAAATTCCTCAGCAAAAACCATAGTATTCAATACAATCAATTTCATTAAATTGCCAGGTAGGCAATAGAAGGAGATACCTTGTATTTATATTTTTTTATAATTTAATATAAATTGATCAAATATTATTAAAATTATTTTCTTGGTATTTTTTATATTTTCTGGATATGATTTCCACATGATATTTCAATTTTTCTCACATAATTCATATTTTATCCTATACACTAAAAAATTTTATATTGTGATTAGGCTTAAAGTAAATTAAAGAAAGCAAGATGATAAAACATTATTTAAAACCCATAATTTAATTATATTATTATTACAGTACAGCATCAATTATCTGAATACTGATCAACTGAAACATCAGTTAACCGAAAGCGTTCCAGTCGGAAAATTTAAATTTCTGCTAGTGCTGTGGCAATACAATATTTGGCTATGTCTTGGGCTACTCCAATATTATTTTTGTTGGTGTGCATATTTTAGTTGGCAGCACTGGTGTGACCATGAGAGGGTACTTAACCTGTCCAATGCTGTTCCCGAAAATATTCATGTTGACCTCATTGACCTGCGTGGGTGATCCCAAATATTTTCGTGTTTACATCAGAACGTTTTTGATACTAGATGTCGCTATGGGTCACGATTTTCATATTAAAACACACTTTTAGAATATAATTGTTTTTGTTTCTATATTATTCAATATATTTATTTTGTTTGTGAAACATAAAAAAATAAGTTTTTACAATACAGTAAACATGATTCTTATTTAAAAAAAAAAATTTAGGTTTAACATCCACGAAAATTCAACATGGCGTCACTGGCAACAATAAAAATTTCAACATCGAATTGCGCCAGTATTTGAACAAGGCTTTTTTCCCCATAGTGAGTGGTGAATTTTGCTTGTTTTGTGTGGTGTTTTTCTGAGGACTGTGTTGTCAGAATGTGTGTCATACTGAATTGGACAGTTTTTTATACTATATTAACTTCCAAAATATAATTTTTTTGTTTTTATTTTTTTCAATATATATTTATTTTGTTTGTGCAAAATAAAGAAATAATTTTTAACGATACAATAGCCACAATTATTATTTTAAAAAATTTTCATTAGGCTTAACATTGATGAAAATTCAATGCAAAGCAACACATAATGGAGAAAAATTTCAATATGAGATAGGTTAATATATTTTTTCATACCTGATCAGTTATCCGAACAACCCCAGTCCCAAATTGTTTCAGATAATCGATGCTCTACAGTACTTAATTTTTCTAATCAAATAAACTTTCTCAGATAAAAATTTATTTATCAATTCAATTAATTCATTAAATTATGCACCATAAAAATCATTTATAAGAAAATCAAATGTAAATACTTACAAAAATTTATGATACAAAATTCAAAGAAAAATATTCATCTCAAATTTAAATTTTTCATTTAAAATTTATATTTTTGTAAAAAACAGTGTTTGATAAAATCAATAGAAATATGAATTAAATCATTATAAATATAATAATAAAAATATAGACAGAGAGTTAACAGATTATTATGCTAGACTCTTATTAATCCAGCCATTCCTTTCATAGAGTGGTACCAGATTAGTAAGTGCTGGATTATTGTATTGTCTAGGCCTAAAGATAATGAATGATGTAACCTGTTGTCCTTTGGTACCAATTCTTTTTGGAGGCAGCAAGCAAATAATAGAGCATACTGAGATACAATACAGAACACAGAAATAAAACCTGAGTAAACAGGAAAACAGGATATGTGACATAACTAATATTTTGGAAACTGAACAGGCAATTACATTGAGAAGTATACTGGATAATTGAAAGACCAAATTATTAATAGACAGATTAGCAAGAGCACACCATATATTATTATGATATTAGTGATATTAAAATATCATTATATTCTTACCAGCTGGTTCATGAAGATAAGATAAAGATGTGAGATCATTTTCACCAATTAAAATTTCTGGATTCCTTAATGGGGGTAATTTATCATTTCCTTCAATTTGTAATATTTCCTTCTGAAAATCAAATATAAACTCTTATCTTTCTTTTCAAGTTAATAATAATTAATTCACTAACTGAAAACATTTATTATCCAAATTTTAAAATTATAGTAAACATAAAAATATAATATAATTAATTTCTAAATTACAATACAAACTGACTAGCTTGATAGTTAATCCAATTAGAATAGTGTTCTGTAGATATATAGACTAATCTTCTATACCAGAGAAGCTTTCTATAACTTTCTATAATTTCAAAATTGTTATCTTATTTTAAAATAAATGAGCAATTATTTATCATGGCATTGTCACAATGCTGGGCTGTAATTTTTAATTATATTTTTAACTTATTTAATTTAAAATATATGCTCTCCACCTCAAATTAGTAGTGTCTGCCCCTGTACATCACACTTTTTCTGTTGGAAACAGTCATGCCAGTCATCTACAGTAACTTCTTTCAGGAGAAAATTTTTGAATTGAAATAACATGACTTCCAGTTCAAACTGGAAGTTCATATATACTTAATTTGGGCCTCATGCTTTCCATATCTGGTCTTGGCTTTCATCTATCTAACTCCATTCTAAAGATTAAGGAAGAACAGACAGACAGACAGATGGACAATATTGGAAATTTATAGATCTAAAATTTTTTTAAATTGTAGTCCAATAGCAGTTGTTACCAAAAACTTATATTTATAGCAATTAAAATGGTAACAAAAAAGTCTTATTATGCAGTATATAACAGTGTGACATTCTACCATATCTAAGTAAAATAACTTATTCATTGATTATTTCTGACAATTTTATATTTAAACTATATATCATTTAATAAATCATACACAAGGACTATTTTTTTGAACAGGCAACATCATTGTAAACTGGCAGTAACCTGACAAATTACCAAAAATTCTCCAAATATTTTTTTCTCAACTGTTCATGTAAGCACTGGTGCATTTTACTTTTGCTTATGTTCATGGCTGAGAAATAGGAGAACAAGCATTTAAACATTTATCCTACCACTCTAAGCAATGTGTGAGATAGCCGGGGACGTAATCAGAGGTACGCCACTTACGGGCACGCGATTGTGAGATTGGTTCTCTTACTTTTTTATAGGAGGGCGATAATCGCTAGTAGATCTGAACTGTGAAGTTCAGATGCTTGTCAGGGCTGACACCAGTTTGTCAATTTATCGATCCACGGACAAACACACGTATGAGATCTGATTTGGACACAAAATTAAGAGACATTTTAATTATAAAACAAAATAATAAATTTAATAAAACAAGAAAATAAACCCATACAAAATATTAATGAACGAGAGATAGAACTACTACAAATAATATACAAATCGAGAGATATCTATACTTATATTATACCCAATGCGCGATCGAGAGAGAGAGCTCACAAAATCGTTATAAAACATACAACCTGTTCTAGTGGTCGTTCGTCTTCTTCACTGTAGGCAAAGGGACACTTTGGTGATAAAGTTCATTTACTTCTTTCCATGGGAGATCGATATGTGCACAAAATCAAAGTATAATTTCTAAGTGCAGACTCTGGACTTATTCTAAGTGACTCGTCTAAGGGCGTTGGTCATCAGGAGGAAAATGTGTGGAGTTTAGACACTTCCAGATCTGTCGCTGAACTCCTTGAATTCTGACAAATTTCCTCTATATGTCACGATCGGCGACCAATCACCATGCAAAGATTCCTCCGTGAGAACGGATGGAAAGGGGGATATGTGAGGGGTGAACATTTCCCATCAAAGCGGGAGTTTTCGCAGATAAGGGAAAAACAGAGGATGTACTAACTTCTGTGAAAGGAAGTAACATCTGTTATCTATTTTTCCCACTCTAAAACGTCATTTTTCTCACCCAAACGAAAGAATATTTTATAACAAAATATTAACGTTATTAGTAAAATTGCTGATTTAGACCCAGGGGCCTTTCAGGTCTCACATTGCTTATTTAATGTTTAATCACAGCAGATCAAAACTTTTTGCTGTAGACAAGAGAATACAGTCAACCCCCTATAACACGGTAGATATGTTCCATTTTTTATGAAATTGATGTTTTAGGAGACCTAGCCAATCACAGCCCGACACGTGAAGTTTACGGACTACAGCTGTCTGAAAGGTTTTCTTCCATAAAATTAATCGATTCCAGACTAATTCGACTCAACATTTCCAAAACACGTATAATTTTTTGGGAATAATCCGTATAAACTATGCTATAAACAAAAAATTGTAGAATTACTTACCGAGTGTGCACCGTTCGATGTCGCCATTGCTTAAGCTTGTTTTCGTCGCAGAGCAGCGCACCAAACGGTGGCCGCGATTTCTGCGAAAACTTCGTTGAACTTTGGAGACATCATTAATAGAAATAATTTTTATGGCTGTTGAATAAGAAATGTTTTTTTCACAAGAAATGTATAAAATTAGTGCTGTATTAGACTTACGGTACCTAATTTACATACTGTACAGACGATAGTAAACTCAACTTACTCGCCTAAACTCTCTGTAGCATGGTGCTGGATGGCAGAAAGTATACATATAATTATAATAAAGTTATAATAAATTAAGTTAATATATAATTATATGTACAATACCTAATTTATATATAATACTGTACAGACGAAACTAAACTTAATTTACCCGCCTAAACTCTCCGTAGCGTGGCGCTGGACGGCGAAAAGTAGTTTGGCTGCCTGATGACATTTTACAGAATTATAGGAGTTTTTTTTACCATGTTTGTACAGATACCGTCGCAATTTTATCGCCGTCATATAGGAATCCAAACTATAGGAACCCGTGTTATAGGGGGGATCGACTGTACTAAGATTAAATACCAAAATGGTTATAACAGACCAAGCACCTTACACGCTCTGAACTTTCAAGAATTTAAAACCAACATTTATCAACTTGAATTACATTTCATGCATGGCACGTGTCCTTCATTTGGTGAGTGAATCAATACATACTAAATGTTCCTAAGCCAACATGTTTATTTCAGTGATAAAAAAAAGCTTTAAAGAAAGCTCCAACAAGAGTCACTGTGCACCATGAAGTAACACAGCTTCCCATGTTACCTGATATAGTCATGATAAGGTGGGAAACATGAATAAGGGCTGACATTTTCTATCACAAAAATTTTGAGATAATCAAAGTATTTGCTCTCCATGTAGAAAATTTTGATTCTGCTACACTTAGTCAAATTAAGAATTTAGTTTTGGATGCTAGTATTCAATAAGAACTATCTGCTATATATCCAAACAAATTCATTGTTGATGAAATCATCAAATTAAAAAGAAAACATCTTCAAAACAGCAGAGGGAGTGTTTCTTCAGTAAGAGATAAGTTAGATGGATTTGCCAAGCAAAATCTTGAGACAAGTCTTGCTAAGAATCTAGACTTAAAGAGGTTTGAGGAATGCAATGATTTAGAATTTCAAGTCAAGACCATGTACTGTACCTGCTGCTAACATCAATGGATGTTGAATGATCCTTTTCTGTATAACAAAAATATCTTTTCATGTAAATACAAAAAATTTACATTTGGAAATGATTACCATTATCCAAATCAATTCATTCCTTTTCACAAATAATTGTGATTCAAGCAACAATGAAGTTATAGTACAAAAATAAATTACCTGTAAAAAATATATCATATCCTGCAATTTAAATAAAATTTTTACTTGAGATAGATGTATAATTTGATTTTCAACACCACTTTTTTTGCACTCTACACCATCCCATTTTTAAACTTTTTTAGCACTCTAAAATCCTATTCTTACTAATAAGCAACCTACACTTTTAAAACAGCTAATAATCAAAATAATAAATTGAAATTTTATGTTCTAATACTTTAAAGATGTGCAAAACATTCTGGTCATTTCAAAATATACAAAATCTCATATTTCAGTTATCAATGTTCTGCTGTATCCATAACATACAAAGATCCTTTCATGAGAGCATACATCAATTACCTGAGCATGCAAACATTTGTATAGATCACAGAGGAGTGTTTTTGAAGACTGATACTAAAGTTAATCATTTCAGCCAAAAAAATTTAGTCCTTGAACTTAGTATATATATTGTATTTTTATTGTTTTTAATGTTCAATGTGTAAACTTAATCACTGAACTTAAGATATTGAATATAAGAACTTATGATTTTAAATTTCTGAAAGTCTGTAGTTCAATTATACTTGATTTAAATTTTCATTTAAAGAAAACAAATTAACATACTTGTCCATCTTCATATTCAATTGAAAGAATATTTTCACTAAAATCTTCTGTTACTTCAGCTGCTTTCCAAACTACAACAGGATCTGGAATCCATACTCTAGCACCCTAATTTAAATAATAAAATATTTTAATATATATATAATTAAAAAAAACATTTTATTTTTATGAATAATTCCTATATTAATCATTTAATATTTTGCAATCAATGGTAAAAGTAATCAATCCAATATATATATATATATATACTATAATGTGTATATGTATATATATATAATTTGAATTTCAGATTTCTTTGAACAAATAATTTAAGATATCTGAAATTTCTTTATTACATTTAGTACAATGATGTACAATATGTATTACTTTTTTCAGGCCATATATAAAGGAGTAATATCAAAAATATACAAAGCTATTTTAAAACTTATCATCAATAAATCAACTCAATTTGTAATTTTTTCTTAAAACTGCATTTTTATTAAAATTTATTCACGAATAAAAATTTTCAAATAATTAATATTCAGTTTAAAATTACATAAAAAAAAAAGTATATAAAAAATGATTATACAGGATTACATTGATTTTCAAAATTTAATTTATTTTGAAAGAATTACAGATTTTATCTAATATTAAATTAAAGTTTATTAATTAATATCAGTTGGCACAAAATAAAAATTTTATGCCTATTAATATAATTTAAAGTAGCATTTCTATTCCTTAAAATATAATATCATACTTTAAAAATTAAAACATGGCTTAGAAAAAATTAAATAAATTTAATATTTAAAAAATTTTATTACTACTATAAATTTTGGTTTTTTGCTGAGATTAGCTGAGGGCAATTTACATAAAGTTTATAATTTTCAGCTAGTCAAGTTACCTAAACGAAAAGACTATACTTGGCTTGCTTCTCTTAAAAAATTTCTGGACAGTTTGGGTTTTTCTTGAACTTTTGATACTCAGTCTCCTGACTTTATTGAGAATTGTTTTGCAGATATTGTACAGACATATTGATATAAAATTACGGCAGGATAGACTACTATTTGATACAGTAATACCTCGACTTATGCTATCCCGACTTACGCAAACCCGGAGTTACGCGATTTTCAAATCTTGTCGATTCGTCTTTTGTTTGAGCGCCACGCAACCCTTGATTACTCACTCCCCCCACACTATTGTTCAGCTTACATGTTCGGATGTGTCGTGCGGAATCCACACATAGCTACAATTTATTTTGTGTTATTTATTTCTGTGTTTGTTATATCTATGGAGACTTGAGAGACTTTACTATGTCATCCAAACGAAGTAGAACTAATTCTTCTGCATCAAACAAGAAAAGAAAAACTTTATCTTTGGAATGTAAAGTTAACATTGGGTATGTTCGTAAAGTCAAACGAGTTAAACGAGAATGACGTCATTGTTATTCCTATTTCGTTAGGTTAGACTTTTCGAACGATTCGTTACTAACGCGTTTAACTCGTTATTATTAAAGACTTTGATACAAAAATGAAAATTTGTGAATTGGCAAAGAAGTTTGATCTACCAGAATTGTCGTCAGAACAATTATAAAAGGCAAAGAAAAAATTCTCGAAGCTGTGAAAAATGCTCAATCTTTAAATTCAAGCATCATTCGTAAACGTCACGGTATTATCGCTAAGATGGAAACAATGTTAAAATTACTTGTGATAATCAAGTAAATGTGAAAAATTGTAAAATAATATAGGCCTAATTTGTTATACATATGTATTATCTAAGATTTTATTAAACATTTTTTTCTAAATTATTGTTTTCTTTAGTCTCCGGCCCCAATTAAAAATTATTTGTATGTGTTTATATGTGAAATTATACCCAGACTTACGCGAACTCGACTTACGCAGCTACCACTCGGTCCCACCTATCGCGTAAGTTCGAAGTATTACTGTATTTTGTTAAACAATGATGTGTTCATCCTGGTCTCAATCATTGTATATATCATATAAAGTGAATTATCATGTTAAATCTTTAATTTTACAATTAAAATATAATAAATATTACTAAAATGTAAATTTTCGACTATAAATTCGTATCTTTCTATTATTATTATTTAAATGAAATACCTCATTTACAGATTGTACAAGGATAAGAGAAAAAGTCTTTAAATCACTTTGACTTAAAATAAAAAGTCCATTGTGCATCCCTTAAGAAAATACATTAGTCGTCAATCTCTTTTTTTTAAAGATTATATATTTCTGAAAGAAATACGGCAAATGTCACCTAACTTATGTTCAAAAAACACATTTGATATTATATTGGTGTATTTAGTGTTTATATTGTATTACAGAATATTTTTGTATTTATTATATATTATTGTTTGTAGTTTCCTTTAAAAATTTTTAGAATCTGTGTAATCCTTTTTAAATTTTTGAATCAGTCACATTGGGATGCCATTGCATTCTAAACATTGAACATATGATTTTTATGTTAAGTTATAAATCTGATGTTGGCCTGTGAATTAGGCTGAAACTGTTTGTCACTACATTAACAACTCTTGCTGGAAAAGAATTAAGATTTTTTTTTAATTGTTGGTTAAGTTTTTTCTGGTTTTGTTGTAAATAATGCTTAGGCATTGCTTTAAAAGTATGCATTTAAATGTTATAAGGAACAAGTGGAAAATGAAAATATCAAAAGACTGCATAGTGAAAATGAAAAATAGAATCTGTTAAAAAATGAATAAACTTTCTCAAAGAACACAAGAGAACAATTAACAGTCAAACATCAACAGAACAGAACAGAACAGCAAAGCAAGTTAATAAGACACTAGTGAAAGTAGTTAGATGCCTTCTAACCAAGTGGTTCCCAAACTTCTTTCATTCTCAGCACCCTTGCTAAATTCAGATTTTCCCAATGTGCCCTATATCAAATTCTAACAAGTACAATTTGCAAAATAGCCAGTATTTTTTAAATTTAAATAAAATTATGAAAATTTTGTAACATTTCATGGCACCCATGAGAAAGCTGCAATGCCCTAGGGCACTGTGACACACACTTTGAAAACTGCTGTTCTAACCAATCTAAACTGCTTCTGACTTAAATTTTCCTTAGAATCTATCTTGTTTCAATAACTAATTTACCATTTAAAAAATAGAGAATGTAATTGCTGAGACATCACTCTGCATTTTATGGGAGTGTTCGCATAATAAATACTGTAAGGATGAAAGAAAATCTGGTATATTAAACAATTATATCAAATATAATTAAGTACTCTCGGTACAAACTGTAAGAAAAAAGAATATCCTCTTAAGTTTGTTATGCGTGTACCCGTACAATGTTACCAACAGTAGAAAGTGCATGGCATTTATCACAGATAACTCTAGTTTTCTTTGATTTTTGTACTAGGCATTCCCTGCATAGTAAGTGAAGACACAATAATGAGTAAAGAATGGCATCTGAATGACAGACACAACATAACAGATCATTCACTTTTTCTGAAAGTGGTTTTGTGTACGATTTACAACCGCTCAGAGTTGCTCTTAACGCTTCATCCAAATTTGAAGAAAACTTTAAATCGTCTTCGTTCGTAGGAGAGGATGATGATTTCTGGTGTTCCGAAATAGGATTATAATAATTAAATATATTCATTACACCAGAACTATCATTATTAATGTTGAGTTTGTGTTTCTTTACACACATATTTGATTCTGGGGACGATCTCTTTGTTCCTTGCGTTGATTCCAATTTTCCATCCAAATTCACAAGAGATGATATTCTTCCCTTAGAATTCTCTTGTTCTTTGGTTCCCACAGTTCTTGGTACTTCTGAATATAGTTTATTATTTTTTAACAAGAATTGGTCAATACGCACTTTCAAACTGGCACTTGGAACGGGTTTCTGATAACTGTTAAAAGGTATGCCCGTAAATGGATCATTTGGAAATCTCCCCCAAGACGCTTCCATTTTTACATATTTCTCCAAAGTCGACTGGTCAATGGTGTGCCCGGACGGTAAAACAATGGGTAACGTCATAATACTACAAGTAATGGGATCAATAAATTCTGCAGGAATGTCTAATTCGTCTTCATCCAAGTGATGATCATTCTTGCCTATATCCAAATCCAAATTCTTTAATTTGTCAAAACGGTCTTTATCACTTTTAAACAGCGACGACGACGACGACGAAGGGAGGGAGTTCTGTTCTGCTTTCAGAACAGACATCACTACAGATTCCAGACAAGATCTGGCAGGTTGTCCCCAGACTTCTGATTTAGAGAGAAGGGGAAAACCGCTATGTGAAACTTTGATTAAACTTATTTGTAAAGAACTGATGCTGGACAAATTAGTATACTGCTTTGCGGTAAATCGTCGAGAAGCCACATCACCTGGTAACATATTCTTTGGTAACTTAGAAAAAAGTTTTCTCGGTGCATACTTGTTATTTGCAAACAATACATTACTTTCTATGATATTTGTACTTTTTCCTATTAGCTCGAATTTCTCATCTTTATCGTCATAATTTGTCGGCCAATATTTAGACCAAATTTCCAAACTGGTTGTCTGATATTCTCCTAATTTTACACCAAGTAATACGTGACTTATTTCAATAGGTATGGGAAATTTAATAATAATATTAACCGGAGGTTTGATAAAGTATTCAGCACAAAATCCATTCTTTCTCACAGCCTGATTGATGGCTATTAAATTAGTGACGTCGTATCCGTCGCGGCATACTTGGCTGCTCGATATCGCTGGAGAATGATGTTCTTGACAAAAATTAACAGCCATCTTCAAGATGTTTTATATCTTTTTGCTGTAGCTCTGCATTTATGTTTGAAAAGTCTTTTATATTACGTAACTATCGACTGTTGAAAGTACAAGAAGATTTAGAGAGAGCAAGGCAACAACGATTAGAATGGGAACAAGAACATCATCGGAAACAATCAGTTCTTTCACCTCAAGAAGAATGGAAACGTCACCAATTAGATAAACAACGTAGTCAAATATAAGAACAAGAAGGCAGGTTAAAGCAGTTAAGATTAGAAGAAGTAAATAGGAAGAAAGAACTTGAAGCAGCAAAGGAAGTTGAAGAGCAGCTATTAAGAGAAGCTAGGAGAAGACAGGATGAAGAACATCGAGCACAGCGAACTACACAGCAACAACAAAGATTTAGTCCTCATGCAGCTCCACCACCATATAATAATCAGACTGCTATTAACGCTCAACCTAGGATTGATATGACATTAAATAACCAGCAAGACATTCCACCTCCTTTACCGACTTCTCCTCCTCCTCTTGAAACAGAATACAGTAATCATTATAATCAAAATACTTTGATGCATGAAGTAGCCTACTCTCAGTATGGACATCCTCATCCTTCAGGTTCTCAAAGGCTTGATACTCTATTAATGACATCTTCAAAACCCCAACTAACTCAAACAAATTCTTTATACAATGACAAATCTTTGGGTCCCCCTCCAGCTCCTCCAGAACGCAAGTCATCTTATGAAGTCACAAATCACATGACTTCAAGTAATAGTCGTGTTGTTGGTACCTCTTCATTACGCAACGATGATAGCAGTAATCATTCTCATCAGCCAAAGAAAGTTTCATTTCATGATTCACAGTTGGAAACAGAAATGACTTATGATGCTAATGGTAATCATGATTTACAAGAGAATTCTGTACAGAATGTAACGTGTAATTAGATACAGTCAAATTATACAATGAATTCAAATTCTCAATCTTATACACTTCAGGATATAGATGAGGTATTGGTAACACCACACAATTCCCAAAATTTGAATACATACAGTGCTGGAAGTACGCCCGGTGTCATTGGAGCTCAAGAAATATATCGTGATCCAAGGCAGCGCATTGGGGCCGAGCGACTGCAGCACCATTTCGAATACGGTAAGAGCACAGGGCCAGAAAAACTTACTTTTCGAGAAAAGATGAAAATGTTTGCCATGGAAACAGGAGAAGCAGAAACGCCAAAGGACAAGGTAAAAATATCTCGAGCTCAGAGAGATATCGAAACAAATATGAATGGAAATACATGAACGATATTTAAATTATATAAATAATTGTCAATCTACTTATTGCTGGTTTGCAATTTTTTTGTAAAAATCAGCTGCTAGATAAACATTATCAAATATGTACAGATTCTCTGTAGAAAACTGTGCATTTTTAATGAACAACATTTTTATATTTTTGAGATAATCTCATTTTTCATTCAAATAGAATTACATCAGTACATATCCATTTTTAAAGTTATTATGTCAACATTGTAGAACATCCAATTATAATTCCATGAAATCATACAATTTAATGGAAAAGATCAGTTATCTGGAGAATAAAATTTGTACACTTGTGAATTAAAAATCAGAACAATGTCTGTTCTCAAAAAATAAAAAAATTTTTTTTTTGTTTTTTTTTTGTTTTTAACTTTGAGCTCTTGGAGTTCTGTTAATACTAAATCTTGAAATAATTCCAGAAAGATAACTATAGGAGATACAGAGTGCAATCATACTAAGCCAAGTAAAGAGACTATTAGTTCCCCTAAGTTGCCATTGGAATTCAGACCAGAAACTTCACATATAAGATTTTGTACAGGAACAGATAACGCATCTAAAAAAATATGGAAGAGTGGAGCTTGTGTGCCTTAACAGACATTTGCAACCAATGCTTCTGTGTTATAATGGCATCCGTCCATTGAGGAAACCTTCGATAAAAATTTCTTCCAGAATCATTTGTAAACAGTACTCTTTTTCCTCCTGCTAAATAATTAACATGCTTTTTTTCAAAATTATATTGGCAGCTTTTTGAAATATATCACTTTTATACATATACATAAAAAACATCATTGGTACAATTAAAAAAAAATGAATTATGAAACTATTACCAATGAAAATCCCAAATTTCTATAAATTTGGGATTTTTCATTTGAAAGATCTTTACATTCGACCAAATATATACTCTAAGAGAATTTCTGGAACTTTAGAAGCTCATATGAATGGATTTCGCTTTACTTCATTGAGAGGAGATAAAGTAGATATTTTATATAACAACATAAAACATGCTTTCTTTCAACCATGTGATGGTGAAATGATCATACTCCTTCATTTTACTCTCAAGAATGCAATTCTGTTTGGAAAAAGACGTCACAATGATGTTCAGTTTTATACAGAAGTAGGAGAAATTACAACCGATTTGGGAAAACATCAGCATATGCACGATCGTGATGATCTTGCCGCTGAACAGGCTGAACGGGAACTTCGACAAAAACTCAAATCTGCATTTAAAACTTTCTGTGAGAATGTGGAACAAATGACGAAACAAAAAGTTGAATTTGACAGTCCATTTAGAGATTTAGGATTTCCGGGTGTTCCATTTCGGAATGGGCAGAAGCAATTAACACAGCAGATTACATAGGAAATCATTGCCCCACTAGTGCCTTGGAAGAAAAAAAACTCCATTTGAACTATAGACTCTATATTGGCTTCCTCAGAATCTTTGAAAGTAAAGCAATTGCTCTCAGAAAAGAACACAAAAAAAAAAAAAAAAGCTATATTCAAGCGGAAAAGAGTACATTCTAGTAGGATACTCGCAAAAGTCAAAGGCTTAATATATCTGGAACCATAGTACAAAAGTTGTCATAAAGGTTCAAGACATTCAATTTACTGAATAACTGGAAATTGATGCAAACCAGGACTCTTTAATGCATTGTTAAACCTGCTACAATTTCAGAAGACATTACAGATAATGGAAGACAAAAAATACAGCGAGTAAAACCATGACTCCTCTACTGATATACCAAAGGAAGAAAGAGTATCTTTGAATACAAAAGGGTTACAAGTCAATAAAACAGTATATATACAGTTAAAATAGAAAATAGATGCCCATGATCAGTCAAGACCAAAAAACCTGAAATTGAAGAAAGTCTGTAACAAAGAAACAGATTTAGCAAGTAACAGCCACTGTTTTGCAGATGAAAGAAAAGTCCTGAGCAGAGAAGATAAAACAGAATGATTAACACTATGGAACTAAAGTATAACTCACAAAACAATGAGTACATGGAATTCATATAAAATGTCAACACTGTTATGGGGGGTCCCCCATAACAGTGTTGACATTTTATATGAATTCCATGTTGTACGAGTCACTTAGATTTTACAAATACATGAGCTGTTCACAGCCTGGCACATGTATTTGTAAAATCTAAATTTTTGTATGACTGTACAAAAATGACACTTAAAAACTAGTCCCACACCCCAAATTAGAAAAATAATCTCATATAAATGGAAATTTAAAATCAAATGGCAGAAAGATGGTATCATTGATCATTATAAAACCAGATTAGTTGCACACAGATATGAACAAAGAGAGAATCAACTTTCAAAAAGTATTTGCACCAGTGGTAAGGTATGAACATTATGCATATTTCTTGCTGAGTACACAGGAAAAATTACATGTTTGCCAAATAAACAATATACATAGTATAGTAATTTTAAATAAATAACCACATTTCTTTAAAAACTTCATAATTTTAACTAAAAAATTTCATAATTTTAATTAATAATTTTAGCTCATTTGAAAGATCATGGTTTAAAAACATAACATGATATTGTATATACTTATTAATTTATGAAATAAATTTTGCTCATTTACAATTTTTTCAAGTGCCATACAACTAATTCTTTGTATGGATGGCAGCATGAGGTAACAATTTTCAAATGAACTAAATGTGAGAGAACCCATTTTTCATACATTATAACAATTATTATTTAATCACCTAAAAAAACTCATTTTATTGGCACATTAAAATTACTTTCCTGGCTCTGTTATATATAATTGTGAGGTCAGCCGAGCGTTTTTTCTGTCGTGTGGGCGCAGAATGACTTTCTGAGACAGGTTTACCATTTTTAACCCGTTTATTATATAACAAAAGATTCTTACAACGTTCTTCAAATTTTCAATGTAACACAGCTCGGGGAACAAATTAAAAGTTCCTTCAAGTGTCCGATTTTCTCCGTTTGGTCCTTCGATGTCGTACGTTGAGATCGACGGCCCCGGGGCGTGCGGCACAGCTTCGGCGAAAGTCTCTGGTGAAAGGCAAATCCGTGCAAATTAAGACGTCACGGGAGAGCGACAGTAAGTCACAGGAGTTAACGAATCGGTCGCTGTTGATAAGTAGGATCACAAAAATCCTGGAGAGGAGCACCAAGAACCAAGAACTATGAACCAAGAATTTTTGTCCCTTGAGTCGCACGGTTTTATAGATTTCTTAACCGTCGTCGCCTCTCCATTGGTCTCTCATAGTCACCTGGTGACAATTCGAAACCTAATGAAGGGCGCGGGAGAGGTCAACGTTGCGACTGAATATGATTCCTCTCTCTC